GCCTCAGCCTTTCAAAGTTCTGGGGGATTATAGGCATGAGCCACTGTTCCCAGCCTCTTAACTACTATTTCATTATATGTAATGTGTAAAGTGATTGACTTTTCTTTACGGTTTTATTGTAAAACATGTAACATAAAATCTACCATCTTAACCATTTTTAAATGTATAGTTCCATGACATTAAGTACATTCACATTTTTGTGCAGCTGTCGCCACCATTTATCTCTGAACCATTCATCTCTGAACCTTCTACACTTGAAACTGTGCCCATTAAATAATAATTCCCAATTCACCTCTCCCCTAGCCACTGCCAACCTCCATTCTTTCTGTCTCTATGGATTTAATTACTCTAGGTATCTCATGCAAGTGGAATTATGTAGTATTTGTCCTTCCGTGTCTGGCTGTTTCACTTACAATGTCTTGAAGGTTCATCCATGTTCTAGCATGTGTCAGAATTCCATTTCCTTTTATGGCTGAATATTCCACTGTGTGTGTGTATACATCCTGATGGATGACTATTAGAAAAAACTAAGTGTGGCCAAGCATGGTGGCTCATGCCTGTAATCCCAGCACTTTGGGAGGCCAAGGCAGGCAGATCACAAGGTCAGGAGTTCGAGACCAGCCTGGCCAACATGGTGAAACCCTGTGTCTACCAAAAATACAAAAATTAGCCAGGTGTGGTGGGGCATGCTTGTAGTCCCAGCTACTCAGGAGGTTGAGGCAGGAGAATTGCTTGAACCAAGTAGGCAGAGGTTGCACTGAGCCAAGATTGTGTTACTATACTCCAGCCTAGGCAACAGAGTGAGACTCTGTCTCAAAAAAAAAAACAAAAAACGGAAAAGAATACTAAGTGTTGGCCATCCCATGAAGTGGTATCTCTGTAGTTAGGATTTGCATTTTCTTAAGGACTAGTGATGGTGATGTTGAACATCTTTTCATGTGCTTATTGGTCATTTGTATATAATCTTTGGAGAAATGTCTATTTAAGTGGCAATCAAGGGGAGGGGGAGTTAAGATGCCTACCTCATACAATACTCAAATTCAAATGTCTATTTAGGTCCTCTCCATCCCCCCACCCCTTTTTGTAAAGGCAGGGTCTCACTATGTTGCTAAGGCTGGAGTGCACTGACGCAATCACAGCTCACTGCAGCCTCAAACTCCTGGGGTCAAGTGACTTTCCTGCTTTGGCTTTGCAGAGTGCTGAGCTGATAGGCATAAGCCACCATGCCTGGCCCCACCCCCACACATTTATTTATTTATTTATTTATTTTATTTAATTTTTGAGACAGGGTCTTGCTCTGTTGACCAAGCTGGAATGCACTGGCACAATGACAGCTCACTGCAACCTCAAACTCCTGGGCTCAGACGATCCTCTGCCCCAGCCTCCAGAGTAGCTAGGTCTAAAGGTGTGCACCACCACGCTCAGCTAATTAAAAAATCTTTTATACAGCTAAGGTCTTGTTTTGTTGCCCTGGCTGGTATTGAACTCCTGGCCTCAAGTGATCCTTCACCTCCCAAACGGCTGAGATTACAGGCAATGAACCACCTCACCCAGCCCCTTTAGCCCATTTTTAAATTGGGTTTTTATTTTTTGTCACTGAGTTGTAGGAATTTTTAATATATTCTGGATATTAATCCTTTATTAGATATGTGATTTGCAAATATTTTCTCCCATTCTGTGCGTTATTTTTCCTTTTCTTGATGTCTTGGTTATTTTTATTCTTTTTCTTTATCAAGTGAACTTAAAAAAATAACAAACCTGAAATCTTTTCTGAGTGTCTGTAATTATTTAATATTTTACCCCACACCTCATTTCTCCACAGATACAGAATCGTACTTGAGAAGTTTTAACAGGGATGTTTTGAGCCAGAGGCTTTTAAACTGGCCCACACTTTTATTTGTAATGAAGTTTTATTGGAACATCGGCCACTACATTCATTAGTCTAGGTCTGTGGGTGCTTTTGTGCTACAGTAGCAGAATTGACTGAATTCGACCGAGACCACATAGCCCACAAAAGAGAAAATATGTATTGTCTGGCCCCTTACAGAAATCCCTGAGTTATCACATGTGCTATTACACTACCTCTCTCTGGTTCTCTGCATATCCCTTCATGTTTCATTAGAAGCACTGTAAGAGAAGTGCTGTCCCTCTTAACCACCTGGGCTTTTTTTTAAACCCTTCCTACTTTTTTTTTTTTCAGACAGGATCTCACTGTCACCCAGGCTGGACTGCAGTGGCACGATCTCAGCTCACTGCAACCTCTACCTCGCCTCCCAGGTTCAAGCGATTCTCATGCCTCATCCTCCCCAGTAGCTGGGATTACAGGTGCCTGCCACTGCACCCATCTAATTTTGTATTTTTTGGCAAAGATGAGGTTTCGCCATGTTGGCCAGGCTGGTCTCGAATTCCTGACGTCAAGTGATCCACCTGCCTTGGCCTCCCAAAGTGCTGCAATTACAAGCGTGAGCCACCGCGTCCAGCCTACTGTCAGTTGTTTTATTTGTTTTTTGTTTGTTTCTTCTTTTTTTATGGGGACGATGGAGTCTCACTTTTGTCACCCAGCCTGGAGTGCAGTGGGGTGCTGTCTCAGCTCACTGCAACCTCTACCTTCTGGCCTCAAGCGATTCTCCTGCCTTAGCCTCCCAAATAGCTGGGATTACAGGCGCCTGCTACCATACCCGGCTAATTTTTGTATTCTTAGTAGAGGTGGGGTTTCACCATGTTGGCCAGGCTGATCTTGAACTCCTGACCTCAGGTAATCCACCTACCTCAGTCTCCCAGAGTGCTGGGATTACAGGTGTGAGCCACTGTACTCAGCTTACTTTAATTTTTTAATTGAAAATAGTTTGACAATGCAGTTTCCCTTAAAACAGTTGTGGATACCTCTAGGGGTTCATAGATTCTGCTTTGAGACCTGCTGATCTAGATCTCAGTTTTAGCCCCTGAATACCCTCCTACTTCTCAAGGAGCCTTATATATGTCTCTCCTGTATATACCATTGTATTGTCTTGAATAGATCCTCCTTAGTGACTAAAATAGAATTCAGCTTACTGCATCCCTAATTGTTATGGAGTTCATCACTGTTTTTTAGTTTCTCTATTGCAGATATTTAGAACTTCTGGCCTGCAGGCCATGGGAATCCTGTGTGCATGTTTTTGTGACTCATCCAATGCCAGTATTTACATTGGAAGATTTCATATTAACATCTGGATTGCTGGATTTTCTTTTTTTTTTCTTTTTACTTGGATAAATTTACAGGTGCAAGGGTAATTTTGTTATATGTATAGATTGCCTAGTGGTAAAGTCAGGGCTTTTTAGGGTATCTATTACCCAAATAATGTACATTGTACCCATTCCGTCATCTCTCATCATCCACCCCTGCTGCCTCTGGATTTTCTTGACCCAGCAAAAATATGGCAGTGATAGGCCTGAGTTTCCTGATAGTCGTAGTCAGCTGGAATTGAGTAGCAGCTGCCCCTTGAAACAGGCAGATGCGTTCTCTTTTTCTGGGTGTTCCTTTTTTACAGTGTCTTGTTTTACAGAATAAAATCTCATCAGATTTGCTGAGGACATATACACGCATTTAGGTCATTTTCTGACCTAGAATTATCTTTTAACTCCAGGATGATGATTTTTTCTTTTTGTATCCTTCTGTAATCCTGCAGATGTATTTCAAATGTCTGATGATCCTTGGATTAGTTTTCAGGTTTGAGAATGAGGCCTGGGACAAATGCTCTGTGTACATGGAAGGGTATATTGGTGATGGGCAGACATTGTTTGGGTTCAAGCAGATGGAAATCTGGCCTTGTGCTTTGCCATCCCTAACTGCCAGGTTGCAGACAACTTTGCTCTGGGTCATCACCTCTTACATTAGCTGCTCTGGCTCTCTCAAGATTGGTTTTTTTAAAGAAATATGCATGTTTGCACTTATACCCATATCCAGGGAGAAATGCCGATAAGTCAGGGGTTCTGATTTAACGTATAAACCTTGAGTTCTGTTTTTCGGTGCTACCCTTACTCACTCTGGATTCTATTGAGCCCCTCTGTAGGCAGATAGGCGGCAGATTCCTTCTAATTCTACCTTAGCTGTAGTCTTCCCCTTGCAAGGATTTCTTTTCCTTCATTTCTGCTGTAGCAGTCCTCTCTATTTCATTGCCTTCACATTTTCTAGAAATTTGTTAAAAGTTTTTTAACTGGGCCAGGCACAGCAGCTCACGCTTGTAGTCCCAGCACTTTGGGAGGCTCAGGCGGGTAGATTACCTGAGGTTTTGAGTTCAAAACCAACCTGGCCAACGTGGCGAAACCCAGTCTCTAATAAAAATACAAATCTTTATCAGGCATGGGGGCCATGCCTGTAATCCCAGCTACTTGGGAGGCTGAGCATGAGCATTGCTTTAACCCAGGAGGCAGAGGTTGCAGTGAGCTGAGATCGTGTCACCACACTCCAGCCTGGGCAACAGAGCAAAACTCTGTCTCAAAAAAAAAAAAAAAAAAAAAATAATTAAATTGCTTAACCTCCTCTGCTAATCTCTGCTGTTGTAGGATTACAGTTTTTAAAAATTCCTTTACTCGAGTTTAGAGGAAGGATTAAGTATATACAATCATGTGCTGTTTCAAACCAAAACCCCTAAACCTCTGGCCTTGTGCAGTGGCTCACGACTGTAATCCCAGCACTTTGGGAAGCTGAGGCGGGTGAATCACTTGAGGCCAGGAGTTCGAGCCCAGCTTGGCTAACATGGTGAAACCTCGTTTCTACCAAAAACGTAAAAAATTAGCCAGTTGTGCTGGTGCATGCATGTAATGAGCAATAGAGTGAGACTGTCTCAAAAAAATTAAATAAATTTAAATAAACTGGAACTCCAAAAGGAGATATTGCTATAGTTGTTAATAGCTGAATGCTTTAATTTTTCATATTAATATTAGTAAGTTTTAGTGGATGACCAAAGTTACCATAAAATTGTGTTGCCTATAATGTTATTTTCTTTTTTGATATGAAATAGCTGATGACTATCAGCCAGTTCGTCTGTTAAGTAAACCTGGGGAGTTGAGAAGAGAATATGAAGAGGAAATAAGCAAGGTAGGTGCTAAATAGTTACTCTTTTTTGGGAAAATTTCTGTTGTGTTTTCAGTTTCAGATTTTAATTTAGTTTGTTGTGCTCATATAACTAGTATATCTTGAAGTGTAGATAATTTTAATGTATTTTATAAGGGCTTTGTTCTTTGCTATAATTTACTTATACATAATTAATGCTCTTATGTGATCATGATCCCTAAGCATTTACATATGAAGGAAATTTTTAAATTCTTTTTTTTCTAATTTAATCCATACGAGGACATTTTTTTATTTCCTTAAAGTTTTGAGCTTAAAAGAAAGAAGAAGAGTGGCAGATGATGGGTTTAGATGAAGAAAGGCTAAAGGGCTAAATGTGAAGTCCCTAAATAGGAAAAGTACCTAAAAAGTGTTTACAGTGAAGTATTATGTTTAATTACATGTAAAGTTATACATAGAGATTTTTCTCTTTTTTTGGTTAGTCTTCAAATTTTTTTTTGTAATTTTCACTTGTAATACATCTCAGGCTGGGTGTGGAGGCTCACACCTGTAACTTCAGTGTTTTGGGAGGCTGAGACAGGACAGCTGTCTTGCAGAATCTGTTTCTCCAGATCTGTACCTCATTTGAGATCATTTAAATTTCTTTTTTTTTTTTTTTTTTTTGAGACGGAGTTTCGCTCTTGTTACCCAGGCTGGAGTGCAATGGCGCTATCTCGGCTCACCGCAACCTCCGCCTCCTGGGTTCAGGCAATTCTCCTGCCTCAGCCTCCTGAGTAGCTGGGATTACAGGCACGCACCAACATGCCCAGCTGATTTTTTGTATTTTTTTTTTTTTTTAGTAGAGACGGGGTTTCACCATGTTGACCAGAATGGTCTCGATCTCTTGACCTCATGATCCACCCACCTTGGCCTCCCAAAGTGCTGGGATTACAGGCTTGAGCCACCGTGCCCGGCCTGAGATCATTTAAATTTCTGCTGATTTGTTCCTTTTCTACTTTTCCTATTCTTATTATGGAATATTGCAAGTATACTAAAACATTCAGAGAAGGATGGCTCTTCATTAATCACTTTTAAGGTGGAGGCAGAGCGACGAGCCACTGAGGAAGAAGAAAACAAAGCCAGTGAAGAATATATACAGAGGTTATTGGCAGAGGAGGAAGAAGAGGAAAGAAGACAGGCAGAAAAAAGGCGAAGAGAACTGGAAGAACAACTGAAAAGTGATGAAGAACTGGCAAGAAAGTTAAGCATTGATATTGTAAGTTTTAGGAGAGAACATTGAGGTACGGTCATCCCTTGGTATCCGTTGCAGAATCTGCTCATACAGAAAGTCGGCTCCTTGTATTTTCAGGTTCTGCATCCCGCAATACTGTCTTTTCCACCCAGGCTGGTTGAATTTGAGTGTTTGGTACCTGCTGATACAGAAAGCTGACTATTAACATTCTTATTGCTTTGACTGTGGTTTTCAAAGAACAGAAGAGATGGTAATTGCCATAAATAGAAGCTATTGATGACATTTTTGCTTTACTTAAAGAAATTTTTTTTTGCATTCTGTTTCATGTTTGCTCTAATCCAGGTTTTTGGGGTATTTTTTTGTTTCTTGAGACAGGTCGTAACTTTGTCACACAGGTTGGAGTGCAGTGGTACAGTCACAGCTCACTGCAGCCTCCACCACCGGCCTCAGGGGATCCTCCCAACCTCCTGAGTAGCTGGGACTACAGGCCTGTGCCATCATGCCTGGCCAATTTTTTGTGGAGACAGGATTTTGCCATGTTTTCTGAACTTGTGTCGAGCTTCTGGGCTCAAGCCATCCACCTGCCTCGGCCTCCCAAAGTTCTGGGATTGTGGTGTGAGCCACTACAGGTTGTTTAAAAACTTTTTTTATGTGTAGGAAAGGTATTCAGTGAAGAATGAAAGCTTCCTTTTTCCTTCTTCTACCTGTCCAGTCCCATTCTTTTTCTATTTGTATCAGTCTCTTTCCCAAAAGGTAAACACCATTAACATTTCTTAAAACTTTTTTCTTGCCAAGGTGCAATGGCTAATGCCTGTAATCCCAGTACTTTCAGAAGCTGAGGTGAGAGGACTGCTTGAGCACAGGAGTTTGAGACCAGCCTGGGCAACAAAATGAGGAATTAAATAATGAGCTGAGTATAGTGGTGCATGGCTGTAGTTCCACCTACTGGGGAGGCTGAGGCAGGAGGATCCCTTGAGCCCAGGAGTTTGAGGTTCAAGTGAGCTGATCTCACCACTGTACTTCAACCTGGAAGACTGTCTAAAAAAGCCTTTTTTTCTTTATTCACCTAAAAAGGATTACATAAATTGGTCACACTTTTGCTGCTTGCATTTTTGCCACTTGATATATCTTAGAGATTTTTCATGTTACTACATGTAGTCAATCTAATTCTCTTTTTTTTTTTTTTTTTTTTTTTTTTTGAGACGGAGTTTCGCTCTTGTTACGCAGGCTGGAGTGCAATGGCGCGATCTCGGCTCACCGCAACCTCCACCTCCTGGGCTCAGGCAATTCTCCTGCCTCAGCCTCCTGAGTAGCTGGGATTACAGGCACGCGCCACCACGCCCAGCTAGTTTTTTGTATTTTTAGTAGAGACGGGGTTTCACTATGTTGACCAGGATGGTCTCGATCTCTCGACCTCGTGATCCACCCGCCTCGGCCTCCCAAAGTGCTGGGATTACAGGCTTGAGCCACCGCGCCCGGCTAATTCTCTTAAAGAGTAGAATAATATTCCATTTTATGGTTGTAAATCACTTTCTGAAAATAAAGCACATTGGCCAGGTGTGGTGGCTCATGCCTGTAATCCCAGTACTTTAGGAGGCCGAGGCGGGCAGATCCTAAGGTCAGGAGATCGACACCATTCTGGCCAACATGGTGAAACCCCATCTCTACTAAAATACAAAAGACTAGCTGGGCATGGTGGCCCACACCTGTAGTCCCAGCTGCTTGGGAGGCTGAGGCAGGGGAATTGCTTGAACCCGGGAGGTGGAAGGGTGCAGTGAGCTGAGATCATGCTACTGCCCTCCAGCCTGGTGAGAGAGTGAGACTCTCTCTCAAAAAAAAAAAAAAAAAGAAAGTAAGGCACATTAAATTTTTAGATAATGTATTAAACTTGGATTTTATTCTTCCGGTAGTTAAATTGCTGCCTGTAAGAAAATGAATTAAAGGACGTGTGATAAAACACATACTTTAAGACCAGAGGATACAATGGGACCCAGTGGTTTGAAAGAGCCTGGGAAAATAACCTGGGAATTCTTTTAAAATACAAACTCTCATGTTTACTCCAAATATATTAAATCAGGGTCTCTAGGGATGGGACCTAGGGCATACCATCTTCAGAGGCATCTAGGGAAGTCTGAAACATTCAGGTTTCCGAGCCTCTGAAAACAACTCAGCTTTCAAACAACAAATATCTTAAAAATACTTACCATTGAATCATGTATATGTGTATGTGTATATATATACTTAGCAAAATGAGTATACTCAGAATTGGGATTTTTTTCTCTTTTGAAAGGCCTACCATTCATAATCTACCCAAGTTTTGGGGTTTTTGCCCCTTTTTATGTGTCTTTTTTGAGTAGAATCGCTTTAGAAAGATACATAATCAGGAAACAAAATAAAAGTCATTGACCAATGGAATAATAAATGGAATAGGGAAGAAATTTATCTAGTTTTCCCATGGTATTATAAAAGTAAAATCTACTCTTATAATTGATATTGTAGATTAATTATTTTTAACTTACTGTTTTATTAAGACAGAGTCTTGATCTGTCACCCACGCTGGAGTGCAGTAGCACGATCTCAGCTCACAGGTTCAAGTGATTCTTGTGCCTCAGCCTCCAGAGTATCTGGGACTACAGGTGCAGGCCACCACATCCTGTTAATTTTTGTATTTTTAGTAGAGACAGGGTTTCACCATGTTGGCCAAGCCAGTCTTGAGCCCCTGGCCTCATGTGATCCACCCACCTTGGCCTCCCAAAGTGCTGGGATTACAGACATGAACTACTGTGCCCAGCCTAGAATACTTTTTAATCTATTTGTGAAAGTTTGGTGGTTTAAGGCCAAATATTCACCATTACCATATATGAACTTTTCCATTAGGGTAGTAAGAAAGTTAAGAGACTGGTACAGCAAGTAAATATTTGTGATTTTTATTGATATGCTCTTAAAGTCCAGAACAAAATTATTATTACATGAAACTCTTATTTGAAGTATATCCACAGCTCTTTGATTATGTCCCTGTAGATCAAAGTAATTATATAAAAGTATTTATTAGAAAAATAATCAGGCTGGGTGCAGTGACTCAGACCTGTAATCTCAACACTTTGGGAGGTTGAGGTGGGGGAATCACTTGAATTCAACAGTTGGAGACCAGCCTGGGCAACATAATGAGACCTCATCTCTACAAAACGTTTTTAAAATAGCTGGGCATAGTGGCGCATGCCCATAGTCCTAGCTACTCAAGAAGTTAAGATGGGAAGATTTCTTGAGCCCAGGAGGTTGAAGCTGCAGTGAGCTGTGATTGGTCCACTGCACTACAGCCTGGATGACAGAGCAAGACTCTGTCTCAAAACAAAACAAAACAAATGCACCTAGCCAAGCATGGCAGCTCATGCCTGTAGTTCAAGCTACTTGGGAGGTGAAGGGGGAAGGTCAAGGTTGCAATAGCCGTGATTGCTGTACTGCATTCTAGCCTAGGCAACAGAGTGAGACCCTGTCTTTTTTAAAAAAAAAGAAAAAAAGAAAAGAATCAACAGGAATTATCTGCCAATGAGATTAGTATTATACCTTTTTTTGTACTTGATGATGTACAGTAAAAATGTAATTAATTTAGACCAGCTTGGATGAACTTAGTTTATTCTGATTTTTGCATGGTCAGTATTATTCAAAGGATGTATAAAATTTAAATGTAATTATAATTTCTGAAAAATGCTGTGGATTTTTGAATTAGTTAATAGCTTATTCTATCATGAAGTTCTCACTCATAATGTCTGTTATGCTTTTTCTCTTGTTGAAGAATAATTTCTGTGAGGGAAGTATCTTGGCTTCTCCTTTGAATTCCAGAAAATCTGATCCAGTTAGAGCCAAGTCTGAAAAGAAAAGTAAGAACAAACAAAGAAACACTGGAGATATTCACAAGTAAGTGAACATGACTGTGAATTATTTATTGACTTCCTACAATATTCCAGTGTTTTCTGTTCATATAGACTACTGATTCTCAAGTTTGGTCTATGAACTTTGTATGAAAATAGTCTGAGATTGAGGTACAGTGCAAAGAAGAGAGAGCTACTCACACAGCGTCCTCTTGGCTAGCATGAAGAGATAGGTGAAAGCTGGCAGGCTTTTCAGCCACTTCCTGTGGCAGATTTGTAATTTATCTTACTGGCTCAGGATTTCTAGTTATCCTCATTTTCTCAAAATAAACCATTGGATTCCTTTTTCTCTTGGTTTAAATTCAAATGAGAAAAACCGGTCCCAGATTGGCTTATCTTCATTGAAGCAGTTTACAATCTGTCATCAGATTTCTTCTCTGTTATACAAAAAAGCATGAGCCAGGTAGTCAAAGGTGGAGTGATTGTGTTTTACCACAACACCCCTCCAGGATCAGGTACTTGGCAGAGTTGGTGGCTTATGCGAACATAAGCTTTCCCGTAGTAATTCATAGTTGGAAACTTTAAAAACCACAATTTAGACTTGAAAAATATGTAAGGACCTCTGGTTCAGCTGAGTAAATTGTGCAGATAACTTACCTCCTTCCAGGATTTCTTGAAATTTTGGATCTGAGGTGGGAGGAAACAGCAGAAGAGTATGTTAAATGAGGCAGGTGCTATTAAAAAAAAAAGTGTGGCTCACGCCTGTAATCTCAGCACTTTGGGAGTCCAAGCTGGGCAGATCACAAGGTCAGGAGATCAAGATCATCCTGGCTAACATGATGAAACCCCCTCTCTACTAAAAATACAAAAAGTTAGCTGGGTGTGGTGGTGGGCACCTGTAGTCCCAGCTAATCTGGAGCCTGGGGCGGGAGGGTTGCCTGAACTCGGGAGGCAGAGGCTACAATGAGCTGAGATCACACCACTGAACTCCAGCCTGGGCGACAGAGCAAGACTCTGTCTCAAAAAAAAAAAAAAAAAAGTGACAATATCAATGTTGCAAATACTCATGATATGCAAAGTAAAAATTAAGAGAAAACCAGTAAAATGTGGAAGTATTTCTTATTGATATAATATTTTGCTTAAGGCTGGAACTCA